CATTGTCGAAAATTTGATGGGGGCTTGTAATAGTAGAAGGTCTTCTATTCGTAAAAATCCGTGAATTGAGATTGTATGCGCCGATCGAAGAATTTCTTTCTGATTGCTACATAGTTCATGCTCATCACAATGGCTGGTAGATTAGTATCACACAACTCCTGTTTTCTCTATAATCTTAAACTCGCTCCCGTGCTGTATTGTGTTATGGTCAAATCATCACAGTATTTAATCAGATGGCATCTTAACACGAAGATACATGCTGAAATACATAAATTTATTCTTATTGACCAATATATGCTTTTCTCTGAACCATTCCATGAAATCTGTTAATCACGTCAGTGTTTTCTTTCAGAACCTATAGTAAATGCCATAAGAATTCTTTTGGAGTTGATTCCAGTGATTGCTTCAGTTTTGAATATATGAAGTAGAAGGAGTGTCTTGTGGAAGCCAAATTTTATTGAAAAGAAAATTCATTGATTAACCAGTAGAACATGTGCTTTCCAGCTTCAACTTTATATAAAGTTTTCCAATATACCTTAAGAAACTGTCTCCGATGGTCATTATTTATCTCAGGACACAGTGATCGTCGATCGGATTCTTAGTTGAACGATGCAAAATCGTTATTCGATAACAACATAGTTGGCAGTAATCGCTTAATGTGATCGACCCTTTTCATTTATATTCAATTTGCACCTCATCATTTTCTTGAATTTGTTCATCACTGATCGATCAAAGTTATCCACAGCTTCATCCAAAATGCTATAGTCATCGACTGGAGAATGAAAATAAACCTTCTTGTTATCAGATCCATACGTGCCATGGTGACATATTGAGGCCGAGAACAGATCAGTTGAAAATATCAAAAAAATGTCATTTCCGCTTCCTTGCTTCCCTTTGATTATGATCACTCGTTCAGTTTTCTCCACTGGATTTAGTAGAATATAACCAAATAGTTTTTAACAAGAAGATATGGCATATATCTGCCCCTTGTGTCTTTTATCGATCCCCATATCTGTCTCTTGACATCTTTTCTACTTTATTATCTAACTATTTTGTTAATATATGTTGTATTATTCTATATCCGAAGGGATAGAAAGAACAATCATGTTCTGAACCATTTCGTGGAAGGAAAGTTTGATGATGGCGATATCATCGTCATCAAAAAATATAAAATGAAGTTGAGTGCCTCATGCCCTTTGTGTTCTGTGTGTCCGACTGTATATCTGCCAACTATGGCAGCTGTAGTGTCAAAAATGAAGCGGGCTTTAAAGGCACGAGACATCTGCCCTTTTGCCTCATTTTAACGAGGTTCAAGATGCCCTGGTGTGAAAGGGTGGGGTACAAAAGATGGTTGATCATACAATGGTTTGGCTACAATTTAATAAGAAGGCTGAACTACCAGTAGTTATGCATTTTAATTAGGTTTTACTATTTAATTAGGGAGATCTATAGATTTAGATATAACAGTTTGGAAATTGAACGGAAGAGAATGTATTCCTTGGGTTAAGGTTATGGGTACTGTTGGAGTTAGCGTATTGCGATTCGCGACACTCATACTGGTTCTAGTATAGAACGAAAGGTCGGTGACCTTAGCTTAGCTTTCTCTAAGCAAAGAGCTACGGTAGCCCCGCTGAACTCATCGTCCTTAGCCTCTCTCGCTTCTCTTTTGCTGGTATTTTTTATAGTACGTACAGACATACAGTGTGCTTATGCACAAACTTTCACTTTGATCATATTAATGTGATAGCATAGCTCAGAAATTTTACAGGTACTGCATGGCTAACAGCATACAAACCGGCAAACGATGATTTCAAATAGAATAAGAACGGGATGGACTCCCTACTTGATGTTGATATTGATCTTGAAGACTACCAAACATACAAAGACCTGCAGTGGCGAACATCACTATTACTTTGATTTCGACGAGCACTTTACGATATCTGCAAAAAACGATAAAAGATGTGTTGTTAATAGTACGCCCGATATCTGTAAGAGGGCGCTGTTCACAAACAGTCCCCAAATACATCTCACACGCTTGTGCGACAAGGTAGCGATTCTCGACCTGGTGCCAAGAACAGCCCCGACTTGGGCGGAAGTAGAACGGCTTAAGACCTTAAAGGTAAATTTGCTACTAGATTAGAACGAGTTATGACTCCTAGCTACATGCAAACACACCTTGGGCTTCTAAAGGTTTTACTGATAAAACCATGGGTTCCTGATTATAAATCAACGGTCCAAACAATGTGAACAGCTGAGACGATGGTTGTGGCCGACTATTTGCACAAACACACGCGCTATTATTCAGTGTCGATGCAACCCATAAGTACTCGTTTGAAATTTTTTTGGGTGGCAATGGTCAAAAGATCACCAGGCGGTATTTGCGTAAAGAAGAGCTTTAGAGAAGCTCCTGTTCTTGAGATAAGCCTTTTCATGTGGTCTGCGATGCAATGATTATGACATCAGTTGTGCGTTAATGCAACACGATAATGAGGGTCAAGAGCGAGTTGCTTGGTATCAGTCGCGACAACTCTGACCCGCGGAACGAATATGTCCAGTTCATGACAAAGAGCTTCTAGCAATGAAGTATGCTTTGGTTAAATTCCGCGTCTTCTTGCTTTGAGAACAGCGCTTTGCGATCTATATAAATCATGCCTCACTGCGTACGACAGTAAGGACTCCTCATTTATTGCAAAGAATGACTAGATGATTTTTCTTTAGTTGCAAACTACAACTCCATAAGCCAGGCTAGAGAACATCTTAGTCGATGCGTTTTCAAGACGTCTGGACTATGATCCAAAGTCCAGAAGCAAAAACATGCACGACTCATATCGACAATTCAAAGATGTTCAGTCGATCAGAGTGCAAGCAACGACTACAGTACGCAGAGTAATTTTTAAAGTGTACAAGTCTGATGAGACATGTCAGGACTTGTTACGGTATTTCAACGACCCTTCCGAAAAAGCATTGTAAGGTCTATCGTCTCGCACAAGATTGCGTGTATACCGTGTTGATGGACACGACAGATTGCAGTACTATGCGGTTGAACACGGGGATGCAGTAAGAGTTGTTGTCTAAACGACGAAGGTTTGCGTCATCATTT